TCGCGTATTCGTTCTTTTCTAACTGTAATTCCAGTTGATCAGTAATGTTCTTCTGACTATAAAACGGCATAAACAAGAAATTTAGTGGTAAGATCCACGGATTCTTCTTATATGCATCTATTTTTGATTTTGACAAAAAACCAAAACTCGGAGTCAATAATTTGTCATTCGTTATGGAATTCTTTTTTCTTTTTCCATTCATTGCTATCCTTCTTATTTTGGTCCTTCTCCTTCTTTTTTCATTCATTCCCATCCTTCTTTCTCTCCAACGAAAATACTTTCTATCCGGCTTATTTTCATCATCTTCCGCTATATAATTTTGGATAAAGCTATCGCCCATTAGATCAAATACTTCTTTTATATTTTTAGGTGTGTTATAACTAGGTGATGTATATCTATAAATAGAAGGTTGATTCTTATCTACATAATTTAGATATTGATAGGCAAAAAGATCATATCCATATTGTTTTTTTATTTTTTTTTTATTTTTTAATAAGTCTACTTGTTCTAATAAGTCTACTTCTTCTAATAAGTCTACTTTTCGTTTTTTGGAAACAATTAATTGAGTTTTTTCCGATGAATCATAGTCAAGTAAATCTTTATTTTGAGCCACGCGATGTTCATGGATTGTATTCCTCCACTTTTGTGGTGCTAATCTCGACCATGTGCTCTCAGGTAAAGCATATTGATAATGAATCTTTAACCAATTTGTCCATTGATTCATTATAGAATCGGGACGGTTCTTATGGCTTAATTTGGAATTGAATCTTTCTCCTTGTATTTTTAAAAAATAATCCTTTATTTCATTCGGAAGAAAAAAAGATTTTCCAGGTGATTCAAAAATAGATCTTAACCTATATTTATATCCATTACAAACTTGCATTTGTGATAATTGAAACAATACATAGGCTTGTGACAAAGAAGATACATCACAAGAATTCTGTGAATACATATCCGTCATATTCCGACGTTTTTGTTTGTCTACAACCGACATAAATGGAATTATACTTTGATTTATTCTATCAATATATTCTTCATTTTTTTTTTTCGTGTAAATGAATTTTTTTACAAATTTATTTGTTGATTCCAATAAATCACGAGTTAATTTAATAGAATTATTAATAAAATTAAGAGAACGTTGTACAATGCTCGAAGTAAGGAAATGTTCTACATATTGAATAGTCAATCCTATAATATAGTTAATATTAAAGATATTCATGTTATCGATATGCGTGTATAGCCTTTCCATGAAAATTTGGAAAAAACAATAGGATTTACGGATTAATCGAACGTTTCTTCTTTTGAATATTTTCCAACTATTTTTGAGTAATTCTAATGTTGTAGGATTAGTTATAACCCTTTCTTTTCTCAATTTTTCCATTTCTTTTAAGATTTTATTTCTTTTCGCATTTAAACGATTTATCCTTCTTTCTGTGATTTTTATCCTTCTTTCTGTGGATGTGGATGGGCTAATAGTTGCATTACTCGTACTGATTGGTGAATTTTTTTCAATTTCTATTTCCTTGAATTCTTTTAACAGGATTCGAGACTCTTCTTTTGCTTCATTCTCCCATTTTTTCAAACATTTTTTCAAATCTTTTTTCAATTTTTTTGTTATTTGTTTTAAAATGGGACCCAAAAATGCAAATGGGTTTGGTACATGCACCTGAGGGTACGATTCGAGTACTGTTCCAAAAGCTGTTAAAAACCATAAGTGGGTTGCAGAGATTCTTTTTTCATCTCCAGCGGATATTTTTTCACTGTATTGTTTTTTTTCAGTAGATAGTACCTTAGGTTTCTCGTGCCAAGCTTTCAGAACAAAAGGGAATAAGACCCTTATCTGAAGACCGGCCTCGAGCCAGTTGTATGGCAATGCGTTGTTATATACTGGAGTGCCCCGATAGGTGCAGTTAATATGGGTTTCTTTTTGCCAATCCCCAAAATCTTCTGACCATTCTGGATCATGAAATAATAATATACGAATGATATTTTTCGTTATTATCAACGACGGTAATAGAATATATTCTCGAAACCTAGACATAAATAACAATACGAAATTTCTGATTACTAGACCATATAGAATGCTCTCCCAGGCTTCTTCGACTCTTCGAAGTGTCTCAACAGCCTCGTCTTCGGCGTCCTGTTCCATTCTCATTCTTTGCTCGTTCTCTTTTTTTGCCTTTTTTAACCTCAAAAATGATACATTATCAGGATCGGGTTTCCTGAAATATAGGGTCAAATAGTCCCACATGTCCTCCAAAACATCAAACAAAAAGGAATTGCTTTTGTTGATCATATCCAAAAAAAGGGGGGAATGGACATTCCCATTTGCTTGAAAGAGTCTCGAAATAACTGTTTTACGCCTTTGAGGGCGCCAAGATCCTCGAATAAGATCTCTGTTAAAATCTGCGCCGGGTACAAAACAAGCTACAGAGAATTCGTTACGGCGGTCCTCTGCCTCCTTATATTGATGCGCAAAAGCATTATTTTGAATACGAGGACCCAATGAGCTTGATTCCATATTAAAAATAACTACATATTCAGCATTTGGGGAACGAATATGATGTTCTTGTTTATAGCCCGGTTCCAGCATGTACTCCGTCTCGTCCAGTAATTCGTAGTTCCATCGAGGAACTTCTTTACTTATTTCCTTGATTTCACTACATAGTTTTCTATTAAAAATTGTTTTATGATTGAAAGGATTAGTCCGAATTGCATCAAATAAGAAGTTTCTTTTTATTTTTTTTTCTTTGGAATAGATTTTTACTTGTTCATGTTCTGGAACTGAAGAAAGTCCGTCAAAATGAAAATTGGATACTGATTTTTCCGAAAATTTACTCATTATTTTAAAATAAAAACCCATTTCAGTGAATACTAATTTTCTATCCAATTTATCTATTTTCTGTTCCAATTCTGGAGAATTGGTATTCATACAAAGAAGGAGACCATGAATCCTATTTATCAATATGGAGTTTGAGTCAAAAGTTTTCTTTTTAGAAACGCTTTTTTGGATTTCTCCACGAGCGGGTCCATTCAAGAAAGGATCATATATTTTAGGTAAGTATTTTTTTCGACCCCTATCATCCGATAATCGAACTCGATTTTCTAATACATCCACAAGATTAAATTTCTTACCTTTCTTAACTTTCTTATCTAGAATTTTTGCCCTTTGAAATAATTCCTTGCTTAGTTGATTTTTTTTTTCTTTATTACGGGAGATCCAAGAATTATACAATTCATTCTCATTATTGGAGGTTTTCTCTGTTCTGAAGAGATCCATTTTTTTTCCATGATGTTCAGAAAAGTAGATAAATGAGGTGGATACGTGAAAGATATTCGTTTTTTTCCATCACTTTGACATGTTTGAAAAAAAAATTGTGAATTTTCATCTCTTACAACCCGCTCGAAGTGATCATTTTTTATATATCGCAAAGGCCTAGTCCATCTTTGAAAATCGAAAAGAATATTTACAAGACCTCTTTCCGCCACCGGGGGGACAATTTTTGTCTTTTTCTGAATATTCGTGTTGTTGGAAGTCTTCTCATTCTCGGAAAAATAAACCATCAGATCTTCTTCGTTATTTTCTTCCCTTTCCGCATCTATTGCAGCTTGGATTTCCTCCGAGTACCTCTCGTCGTAGCCTTCCATTTCCTCACCATAAAAATAAGGGATCATTGCTCTGCCTGAATAGTGCGCAAAAATTGCAAAGGCGAAAACGGCAAATATTTGCCCCGCATAATTTCGTAATTGTAGGAGAATGTATTTATCAAATCTCATCGTTATCTTAGATTTGATCGAATTTTTTTTCTTGAACCAGACTAATACCAATCCAACACATTGCATTAAAAAGATGTGACCAATTACCCACCCAACAAAACTACTTGTTAAGAATAACAATTTATTGTTGGATCGAAACAGATAAATGTTCATTAATCTTATTAAGATTGAACTTGGGAAAAGAAGGGGGTTTAATAATTGAAAAAAAAGATTGTTAAAGAATACTTTGTAAGTCCTAAAATTACGTATTGAATTTGGATTGTTGTCTCCAGAATCCTCCGGGTAGTATGCCCAACCCCAATCGTCCGAATAGTAATGTTTGTTATTTTGATAGACATAATTACAGAAAAGATACGGCAGAGTTAAGAATGTTAGTGTATGAGGTCGATTCAATGCCAAATGCAAAGGCGCATAATAGATCGATATGAACATCATGACGCGTCCCGTAAGAAACCCGCTTGTTGCTGCTATTTCCGTCTCGGAACCTTTTTCCATAACCCGGGCTCGAATAAGGAAGAGATAAGACGGTCCTATGCAGGCTGTAGTAAGAAATCCATAATAGAGTCCGATCACAACGGTTGAATTCAGTATCCTAAGGCAGAAACCCACTAAGGAATTTCGTATAAAAAAGTTAAAAGTCATAGTTATCCCCCTTTTAAGTTTGTTTTTATTTACAATTGTTATTTCGATGTTTATTTTATATTTTTTTATTATTTTATATGTTACTATTATATGTTACTATTAAAAATGTCTTCCATTTATCCATTTACTTTGAAGTTTCTTTCTTTAATCTAGAATTGTGATTTCGATGTTTCATATGTTACTATTATATGTTACTATAGGTTTTCTAATTTTGCGTTTTCTTTACTTTTTTAATAAAATTCTGATTATTCTATGTCTTTTTATTTTATATTCTTTTATTTACAAACAAAATAAAGAAAGGGACAATCAAACCTATTTCATTTCTCGATTCAATCGAAGCTAAAAGGAGTAATCAGGGTTGATATAAGGTCACAAATAATGATAGATATGTAAAAAACAAAACTTCCGAATTCCATTTTAATCCGAAATGGAATGAACTTAGAATCATGGAATTCATTCGCTCATCAGATTATATATAAATTATAAGTTCATAACCTTAGCCCATTCCCATTTTTGGTGGAACAGATCCACTAATTCTTTCATTTCAGTTAGTAATATAAGAGGTCAATCAATTGTAGAAG